ACCCTGCCGTTGTGGAAACAACAGAAGCTCAAGAAGGACAAAGGTCTCTTCTAGAGCAGGGGCCTGTACCTGGGGAGACCCCAAGCTCATTATTTTTATTAAATAAAATATATTTGGAGAGTGGGGCTGCATCTTTCCCCCTGGACTCAGCTCAGATGTGGGGCTTATTTAGTGAAGAGGTAAACTGGGGAACACTGGTCTTGTCCGGGCACTGAGGCCACGCAGGGAAGGACCCCCAGCTCCTTCTCCTCCATGTCCTTCACCCCCACAGAACCCAGGGGCGATGAACAAGCTGCCCACCCCCCAGGCCCTCCCGAGAAACCAGGGCTTTCTCATCCCACCAGGGAAGCTGCAGCTCAGGGCTAAAGGTCTGGTGTACAACTGGAGCCGCTCCCTCTCTTATCATGTGAGCCTCAATAAACACCTCCTGTACCAAAGGAAAGACAAGAAGCCACAGGCCAAGGAGATGGTGTGTGTGGGGAGAGCACTGCTGAGGCTGGACACCAGGGAGATCTTGTCCTTGCCCTGGAAGGGGAGGAGGGCATCTCCCTCTTCCTAAGGATGTGTTAGGGACTTGGAGAGGGCTGGGGGCTCCCCTGGAGAGCAACGTCTGGCTGGGGGGAGCCGTGATTTGCATGTGCTGGGAGGTGCTGAACACGCACCGTGTTCCTGGGCAACTGAGCAAAGTCCCAACAGCCGACGCAGGGCGGAGGAGTGGTGCCCATTGCCTGCGGCACCCAACAGCAGAGAAATAAGGTCCCAGACCAAGAGAGGGTTAATAAAGAGGTTTTAATTTCACAAAAATCTATCTACACATCATTTAAAAAGGGGCAGGGGGAACCCAAGAGCAAAAACTGTAAAGAATAGAGAGGAACAGGTCTGCTAAAACACAGAGAAAAAGTGCTGCTCCACATCAACAGTGTAAAGAACCAGAAAGCTGGGGTGCAGACAGAAACCAGCAGTGGCCAACCGGCAGGCAAGGCTGGAGTCCAGCAGCAGAGCCAGGGGTCCCACACCCCTTTTTCTCTCTTTGGTGGGCAATTACAAAGATAATTAGCTCCATTAAAAAGAAAACAAAGCAGATGAGTTATTCCCAGCCCTCTGCTCCCCCCCCCCCAAAGTGTGGCGGTCCCCATGTGCCCCACGCTGGGATGAAATGCAGGAGGAAGCTCTGGGCTGGCCCTGAGCCCTTCCTTGAGCTGGGAAGGAAGATGCATGGGCCACGGGCGTCTGTGCTGCACACAGCAGGAGGTGGAAGGTGATGCCATAGTCGCAGGCATTGGGTCACTGAGGCCCCATTCCTCAGCCCCTTGCACTGGTCCCAGGCTGCCGCTCCAGCCAGGAAACCAGCCCTTGCTTTGCCCAGGCTCTTTGTGCAGCCCTGCTGGCTGGGGCTCCCCAGGGACCCACACACACAAGCTCCAGTTCACTGACACAAATGGCTTTGCACCTCTCAGACTAGGGCAGTAAATCAAGAGCAAATCATTGCCATCAAACAACGAAGGGGCAAGAGGAACAGCAAGATGGGAGCTCCTGGAGTTTATCTGCTGAATATTCAATCCTGGAATGAAGTTGGCTGATGCAGGTGCAGGTAAATGTTTAACCATGACTAGGTACACCTGAGGAAGAGCCTGAACATGTTGAGGGACCACAGCTGAACTTCTCCACCTACCTGCACCCCAGAACACGTATCCCACCAGGAAGGGATGACCTTGCTGATGCCACAGCATGAGGTGGGCATGTTCCAGCTGGTGGGCAGCACAGTCCCTTGAGGAGTACACACCCGTCTTCCTCCCTCCCTGCTGCTCTTGGACAGAGAGAAATCTGGCTTCTGCAAGGAAGGGGGGCTCCACAGACCTTCCTGCTACTGTGAAGGTGCAACTGAGCTGTTGCATGCCAAACATAAAAGCTTAGATTAATTAAAGCATGCCTGTAAATTCTTAATGGCTAGAATAATAAGCAAGAACTTTTCATAAAACAAGGAACGCTGGTTTCAGACACCAGCTTTCGCACACTGATCCGAACAAAATCTGGTTTTAAACAGAAGTTATTGCACTGAAGAAGACAGGCAATGTTTGCTTTTATTACAAATTAACTGGAGCGCAGTGCCTTGCAAAAACAACTTTGCCACCCAAAAAAGCAGAACTGGCTTCTGATACTGCAGGAGTACTGGTTATTTACAGGGCTAGCACGGGATGCGCTCGGGAAAAACAGACCTGCCCTCCAGACAGAGCAGTCCCTTCATCACATTCACAAGGGCAATCAGTTCAAAGGACAACTCCTGTGTCACCACCTCTTCCCATTGCCCAGAATTCTACCAAAATTAGTATCAACAATAAAAAAGTATAATGCTTTATAATAAATTAACACATACACCCACTCGGGCTACATCTTATGAGATAAATGCTCTGTCATGTTTACAACCAAACATTTGCTCCTAGCTTGGAAACCAGAAAGATGTCACCCTGACCAGGTCCACCGGGCTCACCCAGCACATGGACTGGAAGGTCAGTCAGTCTTTTCACCACGCTGGAGTCTCCAGAGTATTCAGCCTGGGGAGGACCACCCCTGGCTGCTGCTCAGAGGTGAGAAGAGGCTGCTGAGGTAGCACCCCACTGTCAGCCTGCTGTGATAAACTTCGGTGTGGAAGTGGCCATGGAGAGGTGCCTGCTGTCTCCTAAACCAATGGGGTTTTGTCTGCTTTGCTTCAGCTGATTTATTCCTGAGAAACTCCTAACGACAGTTTAAAAGAATCCAAAAAATCTCTTGACTGCAAAAGAGGTGGTTTGGTTTGGTTTCTTTTCTTTTTTTTTTTTTAATTTTTTTTAAAAAAAAGAAATCTTTCACCTCTAAAACTCAAGCTGCAAAAATCAGAACTAGAGGCCAAAACGAGAACAACTAACGTCGCTTAACAGCAACAATTTCTCTGAAATGAATAAATGTCAGCAAAATGAAACATCTGTCCCTGCTAAGTGCGAAGGTGCTGAAAAAAGTCACTAGGCTTCTCCCCCCTGCTGAAACAAGCTATAAAAGGAGCATCATGCCTCCAAATCCAATAAAACACAACACTTCCTCCTAACTGTGTTCACTTAATTCTGAACATGGGTTTTCTGAAAGCTTTCCACCTAGTTTAGTTTCACAGTTTGAGTGCTCTGCACTCCTCAGAACGGAGAACAGAGGCAGAGCTGCAGTAAAAACCCTCTTACCCTGGGATGTGAGAAGACCAAGGCAAGGCCACGTTTCAGCCAAAGAATTCAATGGTCGAGAGCTACCCTGCAGACCCTTTTCCCTCCGTTCCTGATTCAGGATGGCCCAAGCCTGTGCAGGAAGGGTAACAGCAGAACACCCTTTCCCTCCCAGAAGATGCAAAGTGGCTGTTGCTCACCTGCTACTGCTCTCGGTCTGCTCTAGGTGTTCTCCTGCCCCAGAGTTACATGAAAGCAATACAACTTCAGTGCTAAGTACCATGCACCCAAAGAGACCTCTCCAAACGGTACTTACGCAACAACCTTATGAAGAAAATGCAATCACATAATAGAACTTGTAAAACAAGAGAAATCACGTATATAATCTCACGCCTAAAAAAGGATGACAGTGAATGGTGTAAAAAAACAACAGAGCTGCCACCAGGTGTGCAATACATTCCACAGCACCAACAGTTTGTTTCCTGGGACCACATGTAAATAGTGGAGCAGTTACAAACCCATGAATGTCAAAACGCATCAGCTTGAGTGATTCCAAAACGCTTGTTAGCGAGATGGCCAGCAGTGATCTGGCTTTCCAGTGAATATACTAACACAACACACGCCAGGTTACAGAATCTATTGCTTAAATTGCTCTTGGAGAAACAAACAGAAAAAAAACCAGTGATATGTAAATCTTTGCCACTCACATCTCATGGGTGAATGGGCTTTTAAAGTCGAGTCACTTTTTGCACTTTTTTTTTTTTTAAAATCAGTTTATGAGCAGCTGTAGTCTTGTGGCTTAATGCAACTCTTTAAGGCTCCATGCTGACAAAATTATTTGTGGAACAATAAAAACATCACCACAGGAGGATCGCTCTGGGATGTCAAGCTTTAAACGCGCGGTTCAGGCCCAGGACTCGCACAGATGGTTCAACAAACCAAGTGTCCCATATTTCTACCTTTTGTCTCTTGTTTTGGCCCTGAGCTGTTTGTTACTCCTGCATGTCTGGCACAAGTTCATAATCTTCCTTGTTCCTCAGGAGGAACAAGGTGTTTTACTCTTCACAGAGGCTGACGAACCGATCTTCCTACTTCCATGCTAAGTGGCTGTGCATTTTTTTCTGTTTCTAGTAACTCATCGAAGATATCCCTAGGACAGAGGGAAAGACCAACAGTGAAACTCAAGTACAACAACAAACTGCTACACGAGACAGCCCAGAGGGCACCACCAGCTGGATTTAATACACAACTCAAGCATCGTGGATCCTGGCAGAGCAAGGTGTCTTATCTGGCATCTCAAAGCAAGGCTCCTTGAATCCCACAGCAGGTTTTTTCCCTGTTGTTTATTACAATGAATAAGGTCAATGGTAAGCCTCAGGGAACAGTAACAATAGTGAAAGTAAGTCCTGGATGGTAAAAGAATCAGAAGCAACACAAGACAGTCTGTAGATAAAGTAGTATCATTTATTAGAGCAACCAGTAAAGACAGAAGAAGGGGACAAACTGAGGCACAAAACCCCTTCTTCAGTTCCATGTGCCTGAAAAGGTATCACTCGTACCTACAAAGCTCAGCTTGCTCGTGTCCTGAGATGACCGTGGCTGCATCTACACAACCATGAGGAGCAGGGGGGTAAGAGCATTTACAAAAATCACGGCACTTATGGGAAACACCCAAGCTCCAGTATGATTCCTGGTGCACTGAATGCATAGCCGAGACACTGACTCCCTTTCTTAAGAGATGATTTAACTCATTGTGTTAAAACCCTGTGTATTAATGACATATAATCCCACGCCTCTGAACACAGAGCACTTCAATTTTGTCATTCCTGCATGTAATTCTGACTAAATTTCTTCTGACAAATACAGGGAGATACTTTTCAAGCCAGCACAGAGGACTAGAGGAAAAAGAGAAGCTACTTCCTCACAAAGAGCAGGTAATTACCAGCACCAGAATTCCCCAAGACACCTACTTGTGCATGTAGAAGAAGATATAACCGCTTCGGTCTCTGTCACACTGAACGGTGGCCTCTAGAGTTCTAGACACTTCCAGGTCGTTGTAGGTAAACCAGGACTGCTTCTTGATATCATAGACATCACTGATATAATGACCTTAAAAACAGAGAATGCATCTTTCTCTTCATGCTGCAGTTCAGCTAGTAAGCTGGTTAGCTAGATACCTCAGGTCCAGTGACCTATGTCAGATTTAAATGATAGAAGACCCTTAAGATCCTGGTCCCCCCACCCTTCCTGGCCAATGTAACACCCACAAGCCATTCCAGACTCCTTATATAAGAAGTACATCACCCACAGGCTGCAGTTAGGGACAATGACAACCTCAACCTGCTCCCCCACCAGCAAGCCATGACAGAACACT